TTAGAATGGGAAAATCGCTGGATTTGACCGAATTCTTAAGATTCCTATGGTTTTCCTATGATTTCAGCCGGGCAGGAACATTGTAGAATTTTTGTGAAAAGAAGCATTTGGTTTTTGATGTTTTTAGGTTGAAATGCTTGCAAACACACGGTGTTCGGTAGGATTCTGACATGAACGCGCGCGTGTGCTCTTTGTGGTATTTTTTGCAATGGATTATCGCCGTGGACGACAGGACGTCCATGTCGAGAGGAAAAAATAAGAAAAATGTTGATTTCGAATTGTTTTTTACAGGTTAGGATGGGACCACCCGGATGCGGCCCCTATCGGCCGGCCTGAGGGGGGAGTAGGAGTATATTCTAATAAGGAATAAGGATAGGAGTAGGAGTAGGAGATGGAGAAGGAGAAGGAGAAGGAGAAGGAGAAGGAGTAGGGGCCGTTGGATGAGGAGGAGGAGGAGGAGGAGGAGGAGGAGGAGGAGGAGGAGGAGGAGGAGGAGGAGGAGGAGAAGGAGGAGGAGGAGGACTATGTTTCCGACTATGTTATTCCGGACGGCCCCCGGGGGGTCCCCGAGGGGCCGGGCGACTCCCCGGCGCGGGACAACATCCGCCCCCTGGGCCTTCGGCCCCCGCGCCTTGGGGAGCCCAGGGGCGCTGCTGCCCCAGGGGGTACCTTTCACGGGGGAGCGCGGCGCCCCCGTCCGCCAAGGGGTGTGGGATGGGCGCGTCCGGCCCCCCCACAACGCCTCAGCCGCGGGTCCGTGTGGCCGCGAGGGGGGCGGCCCCCCCCCACAGCACCATCTCCCACCCCGGGCTCCCCAAGCGAAGGAAAGCGCGGAGGGGAGGGGCGGGGGGGAGGAGGCGACCATCCTCTGCGGCACCGTCGGGGCGCTAGCGTCCGCGCCCCGCGTGGCCGAGTTCGGCCGGAACTCGGCCACGCGGAACTCGGCCACGCGCCGGGCGGGCGGCGGCGCCCTCCCCCCCGCGCGCCGGCACCCCAGCGGTACCCCCCCGAGCCCCCAAAGAGAAGAGGAAAAGGAAGGGGAGGTGGGGGTGGGCGGCCCTCCCCTGGGGCCCGCTGCCCCGTCAGCGCTCCCGTCCGCGCCCCGCGTGGCCGAGTTCGGCCGGAACTCGTCCACGCGCCGCGCGGGCGGTGGCGCCCTCCCACCAGCGCGCCGGCCCCCCAACGGCCATCCCCCCGAGCCCCCCGCGAAAAGAACCAAGGGGGGGGAGGAGGGGAGAGGGCAACCAGCCACTGGGGCCCGCGGCCCCGTCAGCGCCCCCGTCCGCGACTCACGTGGCCGAGTTTGGCCGGAACTCGGCCACGCGCCGCGCGGGCGGTGGCGCCCTCGCCCCCCCCCAGCGCGCCGGCCCCCCAGCGGCCCCCGGACGCGGGGCAGCCAGGCCACGCGCCGCCGGGGTCAGCCGTGACCCCCGCGATGCGCCCACCGCTCCGCCAAGGAGCGTGGAGCGCCGCACTGGGGTTACCGCCCACCTCCCCGGCGCCCGCGTGGCCTCGCCAGTCAAGTCCTACACCTCCCGTCAGGCAGTGAGGGGGCCAGGCCGCCGCCCCCCCCCCCGTCCGAGCCCCGCCCAGCGCCGACGGGGGCGGCCGGGGGCTACCTGGCGCGGGGTGCCACGCGCGGTCAGGAAGTGCCGACGTCCCAGGGCGCGACGGCGACCGCGCGGGGTACTCGCGCCAGGATCCCCCCCAGCCTCCCCCGGCGGCAGCGACCCGGAGAGCCCGGGCCAGGGCGCCGCGACGAGGCGCAGCAGAGGAAGCCGGGGCGGGGGAGGGGCGAGACGGCGGGGCGGGCAGGCGGATCGTTACCGTTTCTCCGAGTGCCGCGTCCGCGCACTGCGCCTCCACGTCGCCCCACGGGCGCCCCCCGTCACCGCCGCGCCGCCCGGTCAGCCCGGCCCAAGCCTTGGCTCACCACCCCTGCGGCCCCTGGCAGCAGAGAGCGCCCGCCGCGCGACGCGCCGCCGGGCCAGCGGGCACGCCGCGCCGCCATGAGCCTGGCCCAAGCTCCGGCTCCCCCGGCGCCGTGCACGCCCCGCGCCGGCCGACGGCGGCGATGCGCACCCTGCACTGCACGAACTCGAGTTAGACAAGTCGCCACGGCCCACGCCACCTCCGCGCCCACCTGGCCGGAGGGGCGCGCCGGGCCCCGTGGCGCCGCATCCCCACGCCGTGAGCCTGGCCCAAGCCAAGGCCCCGCGACGGCGGCGCCACGCGCTGGTGGGCGGGGCGGCCGCCTCGGCCGCTAAGCGGCCGGGCCTACGGCGTCCGCCCCCAGGCGCCTCGCCGCCGCTGCCCCCCGCTGCAGCCAGGCCGCCACGGACGGCTGGCCTGGCGGCGGCGCCGCCGCCGTTGGGATGAACGAGCCCGGCGACGGGCTCACCTGGTTCACGGGCCCGAACGCTGCCACCCAGCACGCGGCGTACTCGGTGATGTTGAGCTTGACGGCCTTCACGACGACCTGGTTCGTGGTCGGCGACCACTGCACGGAGGCCCCCGTGTTCTTCTTCAGCGAAGACCGGGACGGGATGCGGAGGCGCAAAACCAGGAGGCGGCTGTCCCCGCCCTTCTCCGCGCTCCAGGCGGACGCCGCCTGGCGGCGCCAGGGGCGGCCCGCCTCCTCGAGGATCTGCACCGGGATGGGCGGCCCGGCGGGCCCGTGGAAGTCCCGCAGCCTCTCAGCCACCGTTCTCGCGTCCGGGACGGCGAGCTTGAACTGGACGTCGAAGCTCACCGACGAGCCCGGGATGGCCGGTTTGACGCCCGCCGCCGCGCTGGACAGCCGCGTGACCAGGTCGCGGGCCATGGCGCGCGCATCCTCCGCAGCCTCCGCCGGAGCCGCCGCGGGCGCGCCCCCGGGCGCACCAGCCGGGGGGGGCCGGCCTCGGGGGGGGCCAGGGGCGCCCCAGTCAGCGTGGTCAGGAACCTGTCCAGGGCCTGCTGCAGCGTGTAGCCCGCGATCTCGATCAGCTCGATGTAGAGTAGGAGTAGGAGTAGGAGTAGGAGTCAAGCTAGCCAGCTCGAGCGAGTCAAGCATGGCATGCCCAGTTCCCCACCGCCCTCCCACAACATAAGAAGCAAAGCTGGCACAACTGGGGGCCGAAGTCACACCGGCCAGCCGGTTTGGTACAGCTGATGCGGCCGCGATGGCGGTTGCCGACGGGAACTGGCGAGCGCGTGTTGAATGCCGCGCACGCATTGCCAGACGAGTCGAGAATGGCCCGGTACACCGCAGGAAGCCAGAGGTGGCCGGAGGAAGCCCGACGGTCTGACAGGACACCCCAAAGCATTTTTGTGAAAAAACATTGGGTTTTTGATGTTTTTAGGTTGAAATGCTTGCAAATACACGGTGTTCGGTAGGATTCTGACATGAGCGCGCGAGTGTGCTCTTTGTGGTATTTTTTGCACAGGATTCGCGGCCTGGGTGCATGACAGAGCATCGCGAGTGCACCGCGCGATGACGTGAAATCGCTGGATTTGACAGAATTCTTAAGATTCCTATGGTTTTCCTATGATTTCAGCAAGAGAGCCCGGGCGGGAAATTTGTACAATTTTTGTGAAAAAGCATTGGGTTTTTGATGTTTTTATGTTGAAATGCTTGCAAACACACGGTGTTCGGTAGGATTCTGACATGAACGCGCGCGTGTGCTCTTTGTGGTATTTTTTGCAATGGATTATCGCCGTGGACGACAGGACGTCCATGTCGAGAGGAAAAAATAAGAAAAATGTTGATTTTGTATTGTTTTTTTACAGGTTAGGATGGGACCACCCGGATGCGCCCGCTATCTGCCGGCCTGAGGGGGGAGTAGGAGTATATTCTAATAAGGAATAAAGATAGGAGTAGGAGTAGGAGTAGGAAAGGAAAGGAGAAGGAGAAGGAAAAGAGAAGGAGAAGGAGTAGGCCGTTGTAATGATGATATGATGATGATGATGATGATGATGAGGAGAGGAGGAGGAGGAGGAGGGAGGCGAGGGGAGGAGGAGAGGAGGAGGAGGAGGAGGAGGAGGAGGAGGAGGAGGAGGAGGAGGAGGAGGAGGGGGAGGAGGAGGGGGATCGGATCGGCACGATCGGTGATCGGGGTCAGGCCTTCGGGCCAGCCCCGATCCGGGGGGTGCTGCCTGTGGGTGGCCCCCGGGGGGGCGCGGAGGTAGCCGCGCTTCGCGCTCTGCGGCCTGGGCTGGAGACTCTGCCCTGGAGACCACGCAAAGGTACAGGGGCAAACTCTGTGAGGCCCGCGCGGATCTCTCGGGCCGGTGCCAGGCTCCGCTGGCGGGCTCCGCGCGCGGGGAAGGGGCGCAGGGGGCGTGGTTTCGGCGCCGGCCTAGGCCCAGGCAAGCCGCGCGGACCTTCCAAGGTCGAAGTCTTTCTATGCTGATGCTGTTTCTCTTGGTGGTGCTTTTTTCTTCGGTGCTCGTACCCAGGGAGCCCTCGCGAGGGCGCTAAGATGACCGCGCTTCTCGTGCCCTGTGCCGCCTTTTGGAGCCACGGGCCTGGGAGCGAGCCAGCCGGTCCTGGCCTGTCGGTGGAGGTCTGCTGCATTTTGGCCGCCCTGCCGGCCAGAATGCGTGTGGCTCTTCTTCGACCTCTCGGCCCCCAGCTGGTTGAGCATGGGACGGGAAGGCACTGCTTACCAGCCTGAAGCATATCCCTATCCCTATGCTGGGCATCGCCTCATCACGATGCCAATCTCAGGGATTCCCTTAGGTTTTGTGGGCGCATCCCTAAGACTGTCATCGCCTTTTGGCGTGTCAATCTTAGGGATAGGGATAAGTTCGAGGCTGGTGAACTGCATGCGGTCGTTGGCAGCGATCGGCAGGGCGAGTGCCCTGTGGACTGGGGCTGCCCTTCGGGGACTTCTCCGCTCCGAGTTCTCTCTGGCTTGCCGGGGCGGAGCGCCGGCAGTTTGGAGCGTACCCCTGCTGCGTGACGTGGTTGTCGCCTTGGCTTCCTCTGCCGCTGCTGCACCTCCTCCCGTCAGCAGGTCTCTGCCAGCTGTGGCTCCACCGCGGCCGCAGCAGCACCCAGCGTGGCCGGCGCAGCCAACGGAGTCCAGGCCGCCGCAGATTATGGGCGTTTGGAAGGGAGGCAGGGAGCGATGGGGTCAGAAATGAGCATTGCCACATGTTCTTCCTATACATAGGGGAACGAACAATGGCATAAACACAAAATCTCGGAGGTCCGCGCGGATTTTTCGGATCGGCGCTGGACCCCCCTTCCTGGCGCGCGGAGTGCGCCAGGGGCGGCGCCGGAGGCGCCGCCAGGGGGGTCCAGCGCCAATCCGAGAAATCCGCGGGGACCTCCGAGTTTTTATGTTTACGTCATTCTTCGCTCCCCTAATATAGGCTTGCACGCCGGAGTTCTCCCTCGCTCTGGGAGAATCGGCTCGGGGTGGTTGCCTCCAGGCCGCTCTTCCGATTGGTGCGCATGGCAGCTTGGCCGGGGCGTGCCGCAGGGCGGGTTCACGATTTTGACGGGGCGGATCTGGTTCCGGATCCGGTTCCGAGCGTCGGCGGCGAAATCCAAACCCTCCTCTTGCCGATCACAAGGATGCGGGCAGCTCGATGGGCGGCGGGGGTCAGGGCTCGGACGTCGCCGCCTGTCCGACGCAGATCCGAGCGCTGACCCGCATGCGAAGCGAGTTCGATTCCGAGCACGATCCGAATCGAGTCCGCATGGAGCCCGCCAGGCTGTCAGGCAGGAGGAGGGAGAGGCGAGGGGAACAAGAAGAGGAGGAAAACGAGTGCTAATCCTTCTGCCAGTAGAATTATGTGTAATGTTTATATCAT